GTAGTATATATATATATATATATATATATATATATACGTATATGCGAGGATTATCATTAGTCGTGCCACGTAATTTGTTATTTCGAGGTCTCGACGACGCGACGCCGGCCGAGCAGTTAACAAATTATTGTAGCCGACTTGCACAGTAACACAAACGGCCACGAGCTTTTATTATCCTTACATGTGCGTCACGTTTGAACAAGTGTTACGTTTGGACGATGTGGCCATTTATGTGGCGAACGCCAGGGATCGCCCGTAAAACATCGTAAAAAAAGGATTCCATTTTTGGATTTCTCGTCTCATTGTCCAATTTCCAAATTGAAGTTGTAAAAATGAAAAGAATATTTTTTTCAAGTCAATTCATCTCCCTTAACTCGTATTAATTTTTTCGAAAACAAAATTTGAACGTAAAACAAATGTGACGATTATCAAAGGTGACGATCTTCTTTCTGCTCTTTTCTTCTTTATTTTAAGCCAAATTACGAGGGAAGATCGATCGAGGTCGATCGAACATTAGCAATTTTAAATAGAAAGAGAATCGCTTTTGATGAAAGGTTCGCGAAATTCAGGTTAAGAGATTTCGCATTCCAATATCTCGCTTATTGGAGGACAAAGGTCAATCGAAGGTTCTTGCGTCGCGTGGCGTGCATCAAACCGAAAGCAATTTGTCTAAAATATTCATTCATATTCATGATTGATCTCTTTCTTTATCTCTTCCTTTATTCTAATCTACAAAAAAAAACAACACAAACTTTATCGTTGTAACCAATTTTCCAAACTCAACTTCTCAACTTGCTTCTCAACTTTCCTACTTCGAACAACCTCTCAATATTCCATAAATTTTAATCGAAACCTTTACTTCCCTACATTAAATTACGTACTCGTGGTTAATTACCTCGGCGCATCTTAATCGGCAATTATATAAATATTTTCACCGTGTGGATCACACAGAGCGGAGAGACTCGATTAACGCAATCGGTTTTCAGCGCAATTTCTTCATCGTACGATCCCTGGTAAACAGGTAGCCAATTACTTTCCACTTTGGGCTCAACTCTGGAAGCCCGACTCTCGCCGATACGTGAATTACCCGGCGATTTTCTCTTTCCACGGCTCTGTTGCGCCGTGCCTTCGTTATCGTCGATTTCGTTACGCAATTAGGCTGCACGGCCTATTGTGCGTTGCCAGTGGCCTATCGCGATACCAACCGCTGATCCCAACACAGACCGGCGAGGAAAACTCTGCGTCGATTTTAATGCAAATTTATTTTAATCGAACGCGAGAGACTACTTTGGATTCAACGTTTGTCTTTTTTATCTTGCGTCATATCGTTCGAGGATTTAATCACGTTGAATTTATCACGCGCTATATAACCTGCAAATCCTCTTCTTCTCACCAAACACGCGCCATTCGAAATTGCATTCCTTCTTCTTATTCTCAATTTCGATGATCGAACACGAAGGTAAAACGATTTCTCGTGATGAAATAATATAAACATCTTGATAATTATTGTATTATCGTCGAGAAAAAATCTTCAATTCAATCGTTTATCTCAATCGTTTAATAATTGGAGAATTGGATGGGTTTCAAGTTCAAAAACGCGATGAGATGAAGGTTGTAGGAGGTTGAAAAAGTGTCGAAAAATATAAAATACGATTTTTCAATATATGTGTAAAAAAAAAAAAAAAATAATCAGTAGATGGAACATCGATTTAAATTTAAAGTGATTAATATTTCGCGTTACGTCCTTTTTGCCCGAAATGGCGATCGATTCGCGTGGCGGAAGGTCCTGTTAATTGACAATTGCCGATCGAGAGTTTAAAAAAAAAAAAAGACCTCGTTGGACCTCGTCAGCCTTAAACGAGTTTTTCCCCGAGTTCGTTCGCGAGCAACGACTTTGCTTCCTTTCTCACGGTTCGCCGCCGTTCAAATCGAAATGAAACAAGTGCGCACACTTCTTCAAATTAGCTATACGTGTCTCGCACGGATCGAAAATGGCCTCGAAATTGAATCGGTTTGTGAATCGTCGTCTTGATTCCTCGTGCTTTTAATCAAACTGTTAATTGTAAAACGTGAGCAATATGTATTTTAGCTTAAAACTAAAAGCTCAGAGAAGAAGCAAAAAAGAATAAAAAGTAAAAAATTCCGTAAATCACTTGTTTTATCCTAGAAAATTTTTAAAGGGGGGAGAGGTGAAAAAGAACTCTTTTTTTTTACACTAATTAAAAAATTTTGAAAAGAAAGATGGAGCGAGATAATTGACAGAAAATTCTAAGAAAAAAACACGAGATAAAAACAAAATAAACAATTTCGATCTTCCATCCCATTTTCCCGAATAACTCGACGTCGCATCAGCTTTCCAAATCCCCGAAAAACAAAGCTAACTAACCCTATAATCTACCCGATCACCTCCTCTATTCTCGTTTACTTTATATCCCACACTCGATCGAGCAAAATTTAAAGGCTCGATGAAAAAGAAAAAAAAAAAAAAACGAATCTGTCAATAATCCATCGA